AGTAAAGTCAATTGTTTCTCTGCAATAACGTAATTTATTTCAAGCAGAACTACATTTTTTTTTTGTTAAACGACGCAGTTAAAATATATAAGGGCATCAGTAAACTGCGTCATAAATATTTTCCTCGCAATGACAGTTTTTTCTATGGAAGCGATTTCATCCGTTGGGAAAAAGCTAATAAACAGAGTGAATATCTTTCATCGAAATTTAGTATGTCAAATGAAACTAAACGATGTAGTAGAATAAATGATGATCGCATTTTATTCTTTTTTTTTTGTTCAAAGATTTTTCATTCGATATTCTACAAACTCGTATATTTCATTCGACAAATACAATTTTTTTCCATTTCTTAATAATTGATTCAACGATAAGAACTCTTCAAAAATAGTACTTTTTAAAGCTTTCTATGTTACCTTTCAACTGTCTGTCATGCTTAAATATTGTTGTAAAGTGAACAAAACTTCTCATTATAAAGTCATCTTCATGTTAGAAATCCTCAAGTAATGTGTTGGGATAACGTTAAAATAATATTCAAGCGTTTCAAATCTTCAAAGGTGATGTGAAAAACTTCAAAAAAAAAAGAGACAATTGTTTTTAGAACGTTTTCATTGCTAAATCAATTGTTAAGAAATTGAAAAAGTTATGGTGACCGCCATTAATTCTATCAAACTCGTTATAATTGTTCATTCACATACAGCATAAATAATTTTCAGTTAACAAGTTTGTCCTATTGACAAAACGTGTGAATGTAATGGTGATATGACTAAGATGTATCACTTTTCACTAGTTATTTTTATCTTTCTAAATTTTGTTTCTAAATCAGGTTTTGTAATATTTACTTGAGTAGATGAGAAAAGGCATGAAAAGTTTTTGAACTAATGGGAGATTAATGAACCGTTATAAATAATAGTGTTTGATTATTTTACTGTACTACCTTCGTATACATTATGTAGTTGTTATGTGCTGCTTTTTTTTAAAATTCATGATTTGCACAAACTATTGTTAAATGATACTTGACCAATTTTAAATGATTTTTCTGTTTATCAGCAATTTTGCTGAAATAATATTCATCAGAAGCATGTCATACTATACTAAAATAATTAAAACGAAGATTATTAAAACTAATAAATAATAGAATAATGACTAACAATGAAAGTGTGGTAATATACAAGACGCTTACATACAAAATGATTACGATTTACTAACAACAATTTTTTCTAACACTTACGAGAAAGACAAATGACTCAGTTGATTTTTCTTTTAATAGAAAGTAATAAGCAGATATTCAGTTATTGTTCTAATTCCATGTTTGTGTACGAACAAACTCTTTTTAACTGGTGTAAAAATTTTTTTTTTTTTTTGTTTTTACAAGCTTAGCTTTCATTGTCTATAAATAGAATAAAGTCATAAATAATTTATATACTTTTATTTAAAATGAAAAAAATTTCTCAAAGTAAACATTTTGTTTTGTTAAATACCGATGGAAATCAAGAAGAGTTTGGGAACAGATGATTAATGATAAATATCCATTAGGATGTTTTAAATACCTAATCATTTTTATTTTAAATAAAACACAAAAGGTTTTAAATTACGAAAAAAAAAATTCATTTAACAAACTTTCTTCTTAGAAAAAATGTCAATAAAAATTTAAAATCGAAATAAACATTTCAGTAATATATTGATATAAATGTTATTTGTTCTTGTTTGACTGATTATTCGTTTTTTTTTTGAATTAAATGAATTATGTAACATTGAAATTTTTATTTTTATTTTTTACACTATATAATTTCATAAACAGACAAAAAAAATGATGTTGTTTTTGTTTATTTTTAAAAAAATACAGAAAACAACATCAGTAAACTTTCTAGAACAGTTTCATTTGTTACCAACACATCCATTTCGGTGCACGATTTTTTAATTTAGACGCATAGAGAAAACAATCTAAATGAAAAATTTATATTCATGTTTCTTAAAAATTGCTTTTTCTTTTT